GTCGGCTTTCCCCCATCTCCTAGTTTAAAAACTGCTCTACAACCTTTTTAACGTTTAGTGCCAGCAGTCTGGTTCCACTTTAGTTTAGGTGGAGCCCATCTCTCCTGTATGGGCTCCCCCCATCCCAAAAGTTTCCCCAGTTCCTAATGAATGTAAACCCCTCCTCTCTACACCATCGTCTCATCCACGCATTGAGACTCTGAAGTTCTGCCTGCCTACCTGGCCCTGCGCGTGGAACTGGGAGCATTTCTGAGAATGCCACCATAGAGGTCTTGAATTTCAGGAGTGGAACAAAAGAATAATAAAGGCACCTCAACTTTTCCTCATTTATGTAGGACAGTCTTGTAATATGCATCCAGATATCCTCCAATCACACAAGCTGAAAATTGTTCCACTTTACTGCAGTTCTATAACCATATGGGAACCAATCCTGTCTGTGTTCTGTGCACATCCAAAATTCCTGCTGAATGACCCGCCCTGGGAGCGAGTTACCAGTGACCAGTGGCAGGAGGGTGCAGTTGGGGGGGAGGGGGCAGAGAGAGAGAGAGACCAGGGCTGGGGAGGGGGGGTGGGGGGGCAGCCAAAAAGTTTTTGCTTGGGGCAGCAAAAAACCTAGAGCCGGCCCTGGTTCTACAGAAGATGCCCAGAATTCCAGTTTCTTTTTTAACGACGAAATTTTATCCATTGTAGTAAAAATGGTCACATTCTTTCCTTGCAGAGACAGATTAATTTCATTTAATTTTGCAAAAATAACTGCAAGATACGCAAGCCTCATTAGCCATGAGGAATTTGTCAGACAGTCATTAAATTTTCGTCCTGAATTATCTGAAGTGAAGAATATCAATAGTTCACTACAAAGCTCAAAAAGCCTCACAAGCAATTTTCCTCTGGATAGTCACCTCACTTCCGTATGTAAAAGAAACGCTTCGTGCTGACTACCCATTTCCTCACACAAAATTTTAAATAACCTGGATTGAAGTGGTCGAGATTTGACAAAATTGATAATTTGTACTGTTTCATCGAGCACAATTTTCAGATATGTTGGTATTTTTTTAACTGCAAGTGCTTGTCTGTGTAGAACACAATGGCTCTTAGTGCTTTCTAGTGCCACACTTATGATTCGCGTTACAGCTCCCTTCATATTCCCGATCATTGCCCGAGCACCGTCAGTACATACATCAATACATTTTCCCCAACTAATTTCATGCTTTCTGATAAAATTGTTGATGCACTTGAATATTTCTTCTCCAGTTGTGTTGCTTTGCAGAGATTCACATAAGAGCAGGTCCTCTTCAATAATATTATTAAATCTATATCAGACAAATACTAGTAGCACAGCAAGTCCTGAAACGTCATTGGACTTATCTAGCTGCAATGAATACTCATGGCAAATTTTCAGTTGGCAAACTAGTTCTTTTTCTATGTCATCGGCAAGATCTTTAATACGGCATGCAACAGTATTATTTGATAACTGTACAGCATTGATTTTTTTTACCAGACTGCTCGCTCAACATGCACGTTACAATATCTTTCGCGCAAGGGTTGATAAGTGTTTCTCCAATAGTGTGAGCTTCTCCGGCAAGCGCTATACGGTAACTTACTCGATAAGATGCATCTGTTGCACTTTTGTTGTCTGTTTTAGCAATTTTAATCATCGAAAGTTTACAATTTCCAAGTGAGTCATGCTTCCTCTTGAAAAAACGTATATCTTTGTCTTTGTATTCAGCATGCTTGGTTTCCAAATGCCTACGAAGTTTAGCAGGAGCCAATGAACTGTTTGCTAGTATTTTGTTGCACATGATGCACTGCACATCAGGAACATCTTTATTTCCAACACACGTAAAACCAAAAGACAAATAACTTTCATCATACTTTCGTTTCGGTCTTTTAACACCTGCTTCTTCTTGTTTTTTGATATACTTCGATGGAAATTCTTTCACCTTGGATAACTCACTAGTACTAACAGATTTTTCGGCAACAAAAGACTGCGATTGTTCATCCTCTCTTTGAAGTGTCACAATATTTTGCTCGTTTATTTCGGCCACAGTTGGAGTACCAGAAGAACTTGCTTTTCGTTTCAAAGTTCCTTCTTTTAGCCACAAATCCATGATGATTAGGTTTAGTAACAATATTTAGAAATACTGATTTTTGTCAAATTTTGTTTGTCACAAATATTTATATTGTTTCGAGCGAAGCACGGTAAAGACCCACAGGTTTGAACATGTTGAGGGAATATGTTATATTCAATATGGCGTAAAGAGAATGGTGTGTGCATACCACTGCAGTTCGTGCAGCCTTGAGCGGAAAGGGTACAACGTCACTAACTGAAACGTGCCCAAAGGGGTAGATGTCAACATACTTGCGTGCCACGTTCTCTTTATGCCATGATATTCAATACGAGATCTATCAATAACAGGAAAAAGAGTTTGTTAAATTATAGTCATTCAAAAAGAGTTGTAAACTTCGCTTCAAATATGCCAAATTTAAAATAAAAAAAAATTGAAAGACCCTTTTTTAAAATTATGATTCTTTCATGGAACACCTATTCACATCATGCGGAACACCAGTGTTCCGTGGAACACAGTTTGGGAAACACTGCTCTATGGCATACTGAAGACTGAAAATGTGGAAGTAGTATAAAATAAATTATTAATTAATATTAAATTCACTTTCAAAGGGGCGCAACTGTACTGATTTTGGTGGTCATTTTCAAAATAACCTGAATGTGGAATTCAGTACGGATTTTTTTGTTGTTGTTTCAGCAAAACAAAGATACATAATTTGTTTTTCTTGAATGACAGTTGTCATCATTGGGCAGGAAACTCTGTGCATGTGCGCATGTATTTCCCCCATTCGCTCTACTATCTACAGTGGCATGGAAGACAGACAAAGCTCACATCTTAATAGCTCCTTCTTGGTGACATGGGTTAGAATTTTCAAAACTCATTAAAATGACCGTTACTCTATTGTGGTGTGTGTGCCACTCTCCTTCCAACTAAGGGCCCAATTCCATATGGTCAGTTCACAGTGGGTGGATCACTTGATGAGGTCTCAGGAGACGTGTATTATTCCCACATCTTCCATTAACCTGCTGTGTGACCCTGAGCAACTCACTTTACCTTCTTGCACAACTCTTTTTTCCTTATTTGCAAAAAGGGATATCGATTCTTACCTTTCTTTTTTTTAGAGCATTTGATTAAATGGGCTAGTTACTGTTTCTGACCCCAACATACCTACTTTTCACCCTGCTCATTCACTGTCAGAGCTGGGATTAGAATTTGGGAATTCCTAGCTCCTAATTCTTTGCATAGTCTATTCAAGGGACATTGAAATCTTGGAAAGGTCTTCATGGAAGAATCCTGGTTACTCCACCCATTTCATTTCTACTTCCTAACCAGAGAAGAGCTGTACATCACATGAAAAAATTTGAGGAATGGCAATGTTGGGCTTCCTGACGCTATAAGTTATACTTGTTTTCTCTGATGCTGTTTTTTATCTAAGTTTTCTCCAGGCCACTGGCCTTTATTAAATTCTTACCTCCCTTGTTGCGTGACATCATAGTCCAGCAATAAAAGCATACAACTATGATCTTATAGCAGAATTGGGAAAAGCACAAAATATTAATATTTTTACATTTGGCACTGTGCTGATTACCAGTTGTGCTTCTGGATTGATGGAAGTCCAAGACCACAAGACTAGGGAATTTCGTACTGTAAATTTGGTTTCTCTGGGCTTGTACATCCATTAGTTTGGGAGACTCTCCCATGTGCTTTAAATCTCCATTTATATTTCTGGAGTGTGATGAGTGATGGCAGAAACAGATAGGTGGGCACACACCAAAGTTTTAGCTGTTTTAGTCATTCTTGTAGTTAGGACCAACCCAGATGCAGTCTCTGGATTAGTGAAATGCATGCGCAGGGAAATTAAATGTGGTATAAGGCAGCCATTTAATATTTTTTCTGGTTTGTTCGTAAACAGCAACTGGATCCCCCCCATGAAGAGCTGCTGTCTGATGCATTACACAGTGTGGAGACTGAACTGAGAAAACTTGCTGAGATTCCATGGCTTTATTATGTTTTCCAGCCAAATGATGATGAGGTAGGCCACTTACTCCTAAGTGAAAATAATTGTATTTCACTAGACAAGAGTAAATTAGAATTCCCCATGATCAAGTGAAGCAATTTTAAAGTTTAGCGGTTGTTTTCCTCTTTTTCCATGCAGGATCCCCCTCTGGATTATTCTAAGAGAAACAACAGAAGTACAGTATTTCGCATAGTGCCAAAGTTTAAAAAGGAAAAAGTCCAAAAGCATAAGAGCAGCCCTCAGCCTGGTATGTGTTTTGACATTGCAAGAAAGATCATAACTTTTGGAAGAAAACGTGATTTCATATCTTTCATAATAGCTAAAATAATGTGCGACACCTAGAGGATAAAATCCTAGCTCCACTGAAGTCAGGGGAAATTTTGCTGATTGATGAGTCAATGGGATGAGGATTTCATGCAGTACATTTAGCAGGTTTGTGTCAATAGGAGCCCCAAACAACTAGGTGAATAGAAGAAGTATTTTAAAAAATACTTCAGTAGCTACTGTTTTGCCATCTACTTTTGGGATAGAAGGTCCCATGTGTCTGTTTGGGTGGTTTTATTTAACTAACTCCATGCCAACACAAGTCATTCATAAACCAGTTCTGTTTCTGTATAAAGCACTGATTCCGGTTTTTCAGGGTAGTCTTAGAGGCTGCACAATGGCTTTCATTAACACTTGTTTAATTGAACCAGTTGTCCTTTAAAGTCCCAAATAAGTTTTCACCACAGTTAATTCTGTACATCAAACAAAATCCTGCTCTCTTAATTAGTTAGTAGAAGTTGAACAAACTCCACTCTCCTCTCTCCCCACTGTTATCTGTGAACATACTGCCTTAACATTATGCCCTGAAAATAGCTGGTGTCACAACAGACCTAAAACTGCTCCAACGCCTTGGTCTTTCACAGCAGGCAGTGTGTTACACTGCCCTCAAATGCAAAACAAGCTCTCTACAGTTGTTAATATGAATTTAGCTTCTCAGTTCACTAATATGTTAAAATATAAAGCATATTGGAGTACTTCAGTCTGAAGCTAATCAGCATTGAATGAAAGATAAACAAAGGTACAAAAGAATAAGTCAGTAATATAAAACTAGTTTCTTTGAATAAACTTGGCCTATTAAGACTAATGTGGGCAACTAACCTTAGAGAACAATGTTGACAGAGAGCTTTTTAATGGCCTGTGCAACCAGTGTGGTTAATGGAATGTTTGTTGCATTAATTAAGAGCACTAGAAAAACTTCTGAAGTTGGGTTTGCATGCTGTGATCGCTATAGGACTACAGTATATATGTTGATTTTACATTTTAATTAGTATTTAAAGTGTGTGTTTTTTTCCTGACTGCACTGCAACCAATAAAGTGTCATTAGTATACAGTGGAACAAACCTGGATCTTGCACCACTGATCCTAAGATGATTAAAAGTGAATTTGTTGAAATATATGAGGTTTGATGGCTTTATTGAGGAAACTGGAGTAAAGCTGAAAGCACGGCTGCAAAGCAAAGAACCCCATCTTTGTTTAGAGACCTTCTAACGTTTATTGCTAACCTCTAACCTGCATGTAAAAAGAAACTCAGTTTTTGTGGAAATGACACCTTTAACCTTTCCCTTTGCTAGCACGGCAGTTCTACTCTGTTTTCCACTCTCTTTGGCCTAACCTTTGCTTGTAATGCATTTGAGCATGTAGAAATTAAGGGGGTTTTGCTCTTAACTTTGGTAGTTCAAAAATGGGGCACAGATGAAGTTGCTGCTTGGCTGGATCTGCTCAGTTTGGGAGAGTACAAAGAAATCTTCATCAGCCATGACATCCGAGGCTCTGAGCTTTTACACCTGGAAAGGCGAGATCTTAAGGTATTTCCTTTGTGCTACTTTTCTGCTCTTCAGAATTTTCTTTGACAAAAACAAAACAAAACCTTTCTCCTGTCCTTGCTTCTGTTATGTGCTTGTAGCTTGGCTTATACTGTGCAAATATGCAGTAAATTACTACACGCTGTCCTGTGTCCTGAATTTCTTATATGTTGACCTGTATTTTTAAGCCAAGGATATTAGCAATATTGGAGATTATCTTTTCTCATGCTTCATATAGAATGATAGTATGTTTCATCAGGCTCAGTGAAAGCACTCCCATTGTCTTACCTACATCACTATATTACATTGTTAACTTTAAAAAAACCTCGGTTTTAACTAGATTTATTAAAGAGGATCAGTGTGGAAGGTGAATTATTCATAATAAATTTATTAGGCTAGTGATAATTATTTTAAATGTATCTAGTGCAAGGTCAGTAGGTAAAGTTCATTTAAAATTATGAATACATTACTTCAGTAGTCAGTGTGTGGAAGATGAACAGTTTGATGATAGTCTTCTGCATTGGCCATTTTCAGGCTTATGAATTTGTCTGTCAGGTGTCCAAATATATCCTTCAGAACAGCTTTTTGTTTTGTTTTTGGTCAGTTTTTAATTTTGTGAAAAAAATCAAGGCTTCTATCTTTCTGAGATCACTTATTTAAAAAATTTAAAACCATTCCTCCCTGTTCAGTTCAAATAAATAAGAACCATGTTTTGGAAGAAGAAATGTTAGTGTGCTGAAAAATATTAGCCTGGCAAATGATAGTTACATTGCACTTTGAAATGGTGTTATCTGAGATTGCTGGTCTTTTTCAGGATCTACTTAAGTGCATCCATTATATGTAATAGATACAGTATCTTTGGGGATTCATTAAATTACTTTTTCCTGGAAGAGAAATAATGACCTTTTGATAATGTGTTTGAGAAATCTGCATGCAAAAATGTGCAACTTCTCATTCTGCATAAAACAAGAGGTTTCAATTTATACAGTATCCTAACATTTACCTCTAAAACACAAGTCATTGTGCCCAGCCACATCTGAATACTGCTGCATGTCTAGGCTGTTTCCATGTGGACATCAGTAAGGATGCACCATTAAATTGTTTAAAAAATTGCTCCCATAGCCTGCAATACTTTCTGATAAGAGAGTGCTGACATTGTATGTCTGCCATGGGAGGAATGCTGTTGGCAAAGGTAGTTGTGTTCTTGTAATGTACTTAGTCTTGTATGATACATGTCACTGGTCCTTCTGTTTTATCCTGCATCAGTGAGACCCCTGAGTCTCTTTGTCACTGCATTAAACGCTTCCATTGAGGCCTCACAGAGCCCAAACCTGCAAGAACCAAGAAACAGAAAATTATCCAAATAATACGTCTCAGACAACATTCCAGTCTCTGGTGTAATTGCCCATTGTCCAGCTATACTGAAAGAAGGAAACTTTATATGGATTTAATGAAGCCGCAGCTTTATTATTAGATGTCTGGGACTATCTGGCAGATAAAAGTATATTGTGCAGGCAACTCCATGTCATTCAAATAACTACGTGGGGCTTCTATCAACCCCCCTTCATTTTTTATCCAGGTCCCCCAGCCAACCCCTGGCTTAGACCTTAGCATCCACCCCCCCCCACTAGAACCTCCTTTTTAAGTCCTTTACCAGCCCATTTATCTGGTCACTGGATGCCTTCTCTATGGAGTACCTGCACTGGACATCCACCCCACACTTACAGAATAAGTTGCGACATATAGCCTAACTCCCTTTCCTCCTCACCGTAATAGGTCCTCCCTGACACCCGCTGTGGGGAAGGTGAAAAAACCCCACTCCACTGAAGCCAATTTGGTGTGAGGGAAAACATTCCTTCCCAGCCCCCCTAAAAAGGAGTAACTAGTGCAATGCCCACAGCAAGTCTAACCCAACCTGATGTTTGCACCTCGAGGGGAGGGAAGAAGGGTGGGTGCTGCCTTGCCTGCTGCATGGAGAAAGGGCTTCTAATGTCTGAATCTGCCCCTTTTAAAGCCTTCTGTTCTTAGGTACCCAGGGGATGAATCAGCATGGCCAAGCTGACCCCCATCCACCCTTTTTACATCATCTTCTGACCTCCTTCCTTTCCCCCTACCTGTAAAGCACTGCTACCTTCCCCTGGCAAGCCTGGACAATGTCTTCTCCCCACCCTCCCTTTCAGGTGCAGTGCAGTCATTCTGAACAGGGACTAGACGATTCAAAAGCTAGACAAGAAACTCGGCACCCCGGGGCTGTGGCTTTCTCAAAATGATAAAAACCCTTGAAAGGAAAAACCCAAGAGATCGAAATTGTTGGAGTGGACCGGTAGTAAACAGCGTTACAGCAGGCAAGGAAAGTCCCTCTGGCCTTGTGCAAGGATCATTTTGATTGTGTGTTCAAACTGAAACTTAACCAAGTAGCTTTCTGCAATGTGACCATTAACTGACTCTCCTTTAAGCTAGGGCAAATGATGAATCAAACTGATTTTCAATTGCCAGTAGTGCAGGGAAACCACTGTCCATGAACTACAAAGAGGCTAGGTCGTGTGCAGTAACCACAGTGTCATGTCGGGAGTGTTTCATATTTTTGCCAGAATAGCTGTGGAACTTCCAGCAAAAGTGCTCATTAAATCCCAGCAGACCCTTTGGCCAAATGTTTGTGTTTTTTGTGTTATAGCAGCATATCTGAACAGTTGAGTGGAGCATGAATTCAGTTCCCTTTGTCTGCTCTACAAGCAGACTCCCTCAGCATGTCCCCAAGTGAGTCCCAAATAATCTGTGCAGCTACATGTACACTGAGAGGAACAATAAACTCCTGGCATCCCAGGGAAGCCCAAACAGTCTGGCCTGTCATTGCCTTGACCTGTAATTTGAAGGTGGAGGGGGCAGGGAGGAGGGCTGGGTTGGATTATTGAATTGTTATAAGATTACATCTGGCTTTTATTATAACTCCTCCACTTCACCTTTCTCATAACTTTTAGAAATATCTCCTTGTCAGTTGAAGTTTTGATTGTAGAGGTTCTTGTTGGTTTGTTTGTTTTTCTTTCAATGCTTATGCAAAATCCAGTCACCCATTTTATGAGGATTTTATTTATGAGGATAGAAAGTAATATATGCTGGTTTCATCTCTACTCTACAGCTTCTCTGTGTCACTCAGGAACCATAAACCTGTTTTTTGCTGGTCAGACAAGCTCAAAGCAGCCAGAGGATAGCAGTGATTCTGACCCTTTAATTTTATATTGTTAATGCATTTAAGATGCTTATTTGCACATGCATTATTCAAAAATAGGAAAATTGTAGCTGAGTTCTTCTCCCTGAGAATTAACCTCTCTACTAATTTACAGAAAGAAATATTAACAGTTATTAGCATTTTAAAACTGCTCCTGTGCATGAGAGCTGGTTGCTAATATTCCTAGCTGCAAGAGTGTCTACTGGGCTACAGTGGTACTGTAGTTCTAATGTCTCCATAGAAAGATTTCAGCACAGAAGTGTGTCCTATATTTGAAGATGCAGGATCTGGATGGTTGTATAGTGAGAGTCAAACTGAAATTCATGGTGAGGGTTGTGTATTGTTTTCATCTTTAGTTTTCGTTAACTGAGTAATAGGAATTAAGTGTTGTTGTAACTGTGTTGGTCCCAGGATATTGGAGAGAGACAGTGGGTGAGATAATATCATTTATCAGACCAACTTCCATTGGTGAGAGAGACGAGCTTTCGACCTTACACAGAGCCATTCTTCAGGTCTGAGAAAAGTACTCAGTGTCACAGCTAAATACACGATGGAACAGATTGTTTAGCCTAATTAGTTAACACATATTTCAATGGACCATTCAAGATGAAGTGGCCCTTTAACACACTCCATTAATGGGGGAAGGAAAAAGGGGGTGGGGGAAAGGCAGCTTGAGGGGAGGTGTTAGTGGGTTATAGATTTGTTGTAATAAGCTATAAAGCTGGTATCTCTATTCAGTCCGTGATTTGTAGTGGCTAGCAAAGTTATGAATTTAAGCTCCCAATTCATAACTTTGCTAGAGTTATGGTGCGAATTTTTCACACCCATGAGCAATGTCATTATACAAACCTAATTTCCTACAGTACACCAGGCCTAAGTACATTTTCTAGACCTGAAGAAGAGCTCCGCAGACTGCTCTACACTAGAAAATTAAATCCAGACCCCGGGGTAGTTAAGCCAACCTGACCCCCAATCAACATAGCTACTGCTTCCTGGGCACCTGGATTACCTGCGCTGAAAGGAGAACCCTTCCTGTCGGCATAGGTAGTGTCTACACTGAACAGAAGTTGGTTTAATAAAAGCTGTTACCTCACCCATCTTGTGTCTCTAATGGGAATTACAATTTTCAAAAAAAGCTCTTTTTAGAGAATTTTTTAAAAATCCTTTGAGTTTTGTTAGATTTTGGACTCACTGGATGTTTGTTAAATTAGTAATAAAGCTAGAAGAAATCTCTGATCTTAAAGATGTTAACACAGAATTCTATATGTATTATTTGTTTGGAAATATTAGAATGGAACACTTTTTGCCAAAGATTGAGTGGCAAACCTTTTTTGGGCGGGGAGTAGGGGGTGAAAGGCAGCCTACCCTCTCTAGCCTTATCTCCAGAGTATAGTACAGATGAAGATTCCCTGACAGCTGACAACAATTTAAGAAGAAAATTGCTGTAAGAACTTTCATCAGGTTCTTCTCCAGTTATTTTTCAAGGACCTCTTGAGTACTTACGCCACTGAGTGCTAGAAACTGTGAGGTAGGCTGGCAATGTAGCCTAGCAGTGTGACATGGGAATGGGGGGAGGGGTGCACTTTGTGAATGATTTGCAGTGTGTTGCTGTTCCAAATCCCTTCCTTTGTGTAGGGCAAAAGTCAGAATAAAAGAATCCCTGCAAACTTTTTGGCATCTAGATGGCATCTAAAGTCGCTATATGTGTTGTCTTCTCAACAGAATGATTTGGGGAGATCTCCACAAGTGAAAATTCAGAGCTTTTTTTAACCTTTGTTTGGATTTTTTCTTGAGGACGGCAAACTTTAACTGAGGGGCCAGGAGAATTTGTAATGAGAGTCTGAGGCCTAGGGTTGGGGAAAGAGCTGTTGATATGCTGGAAGTGTCATAATATGATCCTGTCCCCTTTTCAATCCCTGAAGTCTAACAAAATCCTGCTACAATTCTCAACTACCAAAAAATCCTACAAATGGAAAGCCTGGCAAAGCCTCATCAAATTCATGCCCAAGTTTGGTGGTGATGGTGAAAGATGTATCTTCTATTTTCATTCGATTTTGAAGTGACTGTAATTTAGATGGAAACAGTAGATCCTCTGACAAATTGTTGCAAGGAGGTTTCTGAGTAGTTGCTTTGAACTTTTATTTTCTTCATTAGAAAATTAACTTAAAAGCAAATAAGAAAATTTTCTACAACTTTGAATCTATAACCTTATGCCCGTTTGTTCTCAGGAAAAAAGTTGCAGTCATTGTTATGTGTGTTTAATAATTGTTGCATACATTAACTATTTTTCTTTCTTAGATGTTTTTGTTGAATACTCAGGAAAGAGTGAGATTGACAGCAGAGGATAGAACAAAGTGCAGTACAGAGAGATGTGCTACAAGTTTCTTCACATTAGTCTGTCAATCCAACTAAATATGCAAAACCCTTGCAGTTTTAGTCTGGGGTCCATTCTGAGCAGGACCTTCTAATTATGCTGAATCATCATATATGATGGTCTTGAGCTGTACTGTAGATAATTGTCCATTAGGAGCCAGGACCAATTTCTTTCCGTTTCCGACCTAACCTGAATTTGAACTCAAATCTTCAAAGGTGAAGAGAGGCCAATGTGTTCAGTTTGTACCCACTTAAATTTTATATAGCAAAAGGGATTTCTTTCAATTTTATACCACACTCTCCTTGTCTCAGGCTGGTGGTAAATGGAAATTAAATTGTATAATAACTTAAGTATCAATGCTTATTTCCAGAGTTTTTGGTGTCTTCAGAACACATATATATGAACTCTTTGTGGAAAGCGTGCATACCATGATATATATATTGTTACCACAGTTTTTACAGTACATTAAAATAAGAATTATTATTTTATGCTGCCCTTTCCCTCTTTATTATCCTTGATGTGGAAAATATATCCTCTTAAAGTGGAAGAGTTTATATTTCAGAAATATTTCATATGTTCATAATTTTTCAAATTACTTTAATAATATTTAAACCTTGCACTTAGCTGGCATCATTAATCCAAGAATTCCAAAGTGTTTAACAAAGGTGGGTTTTGTATATGGGGAAACTGAGACTCAGAAAGTTTAGGTAAACTGCTTGAAGTTACATAGTCAGTAGCAAAGTCAGGAATCCCATTCTGCTGCTCTGACCACTAGACCAACACAAATTAAACAAGGTTCGATTCCTTTTTTATTTCAACTACACACTGTTTAAAAAAAAATAAAAAGATAATTCCATAAACAACCCAGAGAGGTTGGGTTAAATAAAAGTATGATGGCTATTGCAAAAAATGTAGACAAATTGTTGAAATAAAGTGAATGAAAATGAATAAGCTGAAACAAATAATTAATTCTTGCACAATGCCCTTAAAATTCTGCAAATTCACTGCCAAAGGGAATGAGTTCCAAAGGTGTGGGTGGTTGGGGGGAGGCAGCCTCTTCGTAAGAGGTCCTTGCTACTGCCAGTCCTGAAGAGTTGGGTCCCAGAAAACACTATCGAGAACATTTCAGCTGATCTTAACTGCCACATTGATGTACATAGAGAAAGTTATACTATACATTCAGATTTGTTTGTTGTGTACTTTCCCATTTTCCTTCTGGATGTCATTGTCATGTTTGTCAGAAACTTTCCTCTAATTACCAAGCATATCCATGTTAAGATACTTATCTTTCTGGACTGAGAAATTCACTCTAACCTTAGCTATTGTTCTCTGAAGGAAAGTTGTCCTACATACCTGTAGACCTACATCTACTTTCCCATGGGGATGTGCGTATTTGCTGATTAAGATAGGCATGTTAGGGCCACAGATAAAATAAAAATTGATGGATGGAAGCTATGATCTATTACATCCTTTAAAGCCAACAACTGCTATGTTAGAGAGGAGAGGGAGATTGAGCAATTTCTGGAAATTTAAAAAAACCTAATGGCTGTGCAAAGAAGTCAGGAGAACACAAAAGTAACGGTTTGTGTGAGATACAGCAGTTATTGCAGGTAAGTAATTTTCTCTGTGCTGAATAGAAAGAGGTTCCTGATAAGTTGTCTGTAATTTATATTTTTTGCTACGTTTTTTTATTTCCACATTTAGAAATGTGTTTGCTGTTGTAGATCACTTAAAATGAACTGTAAAGGATTCTGTAACTGCTGCATGGCTGAATTGTACTGGGCTTTTTCTCTTTTGTAAATAAAACTCTCCTCTCCTTTTCTTTTGTAGGACCTGGGGATAACGAAAGTGGGTCATATGAAGCGAATTCTCCAGGGAATTAAAGAGCTTGGCAAGAACGCTCCCTTGTCTGAAGTGTAACAATACTGGTGCTATCCTTGTAAGGAGGGAGAATTGCTAGTTAGCAAAGTGGAGGCACTTTGCTGTCTTTGTAGTTTACTATATGGTTGAATAAGCACTGGTGTACTATGCAGGTTAATATATCTGCATTCTTGTGTGGTGAAGAGCTTGACCTGAGAATCTGAACGGTTTTGTGCCAAAAAAAAAAGTTATATGTTCTGTGAAGACCTTTTCTTAGTGTGCAAACTTGGCAAGTTCAAGTAAGCACATTTTGGTAAAGAGGTTGGTATATAGTGAACTGCACTGCCTGGAAAATGTAATTAAGTTATGATTGCTTTCCTTACATATGGCCCAGTACAGCTCTCTTACAATGCAGCAACATATCACTGTAGAGCCTGAGTTTGCCTGGTTAACTTTCTGAGGCACAGCTTTCCTAAAACATTTTGTACAGAAGACTGAGAGATGGAACGTTCCTGGTTTTGCTTGCAAGACTGACATTGCCTCAGGTACTTAGCACTCACTGGCCAAGGAGTATGGTTACAGACACCACGAATGCAAACTATAATGCATGGTGTACGTGTCTGAATCGTCTGTCTTTCTGTTGCATGACATATCTGATACTTTAAACACTTGAACAATTTTTATATCAGTTTTAATAAGATTTAATTTATTACTACTTGTGTGTCTTTTATTTGGTTACAGGCACTTTTCTATTCTTCAGTGTTGTATTTTACCTGAACATGTTATGTGGCAAAGGACTTGTGGATGTGAACACTTAGCATCTGTGCCATATTTAGCAAATGATGTGCATTATATATAATTGACACATTCTATAGTTAGGTTTTAAAATTACCCATGTAGAGTAGGTATATCAGGTAATTAATTCTTGTGTTTTGGAGAGACAGGTACTTCACAAAATTATCAATCAGCTTCCTAAATGGAAAATTATGAGAGAGTTTTCTTATGGCACATTTTAATGTAGCTAGTCAGTTACCTTGAATATCTGTACTATATTTTATTTATTATGCAAAAAGAGGATTAAAAAGGTTAGTGAAACATTTTTAAAAAGCTAGAAGTAATTTAATGTTATTTACTATGTGTATAAAATGTTTTAATGTTATAGCTGATTTGATTTTGTGAGGTAAACTTCCCCAGTCTCATACAAGAACTTAGCCATGTGCACCATTTTAATATTGTTTTTTAAAGGTTCATTAAATACCAAAACAATGTACACGTCTACTCTACATATCTATATTCAATCTGTTTCTTATCAGTACTACTGCACTGGTAAATCATACATATGTAGTAACAATGGTAACCCTTTCCCAAGAATTGTACACTACGCATGCTTAGGTAAATCACACGCAAAACAATAATACAGAGTGTAAACAGGTTCACTTAGAATTACTCTGATACTAAACATTTCATTAGAACAGGGTTTATGCAATTCAGTTGGGGTGCATCTAAAAAAGACGTCATTTTATAATTAATTGAGTTCCCAGATCATTTTTCACAAAGTATTTATCTAATGGGAAAAGAATTTAAATATCTCTGGAGATAAAAACTACAGTAACACTACTTAAATAATTAGGATATCTTGATGATTCACAACTTGGGTATAGTTACACAGTAAGGACTTCTCTATACTGAAAACTTACATCAGCATAACTACATCTCTCAGGAATGTAAAAAATCCACAACCCTGAGAGACTTAGCTATGCCGACTTAACCCCTAGTGTAGACAGTGCTAGGCTGACGGAAGAATTCTTCTGTCAACCTAGCTATCGCCTCTCAGGGAGGTGGATTAACTATAGCAACAGGAGAACCACTCCTGTCACTGTACGGAGTGTCTACACTGAAGTGCTACAAGAGCACCTGGAGCCTTTTAAGTGTAGACATACCCTAACTGAGCTTGTATAAAATGGATACCTCCTTGCTGTTTGCAAGAATGCCGCATGCCAGCAAAAGAGGCATGGCTTTTACTAATATATATATATTTGAGCAGACTTTCATTTGGTTTAAAAAAGTTTAGTTTCCCACATTTTTAAAGGGAACAGTGTCAAGTATTAGGTTTAACTTTGGCCTATCTTTCTCATTTGGTAGGGGTTATCCCCTGGAAGGTAAATGTCTTATTTACATTTTTTTCTAACATCCTTCATCACTCTGTTGCCAGGAAATTTTAATAAAAAATAAATAGCTCAAGTCTGTCTGTCTCAAGCGCTATGTGCTCTTCTGCTGTAGAGTAAATAGAAGGACACAGTTCCGAGAACTATGCTGACATAACTGATTATGCGGGTAAACAAACAAAAGAAAGAAGCTGTGTTCCATTAGGTTTTCAGCAAAAACCAAACCAAAACAAAAACAGTTTGCCAAGTGCATTATTTTCAAGCTGTTGTACTAAAAGGGTATGCAAACAATAGAGAGTTTTAAAAATGTACTTGACACTGACTCCTTTAATTATGTTCAGATGACATCTGTTATGACTCCATAAACTATACTTTCCTTTCTCTCCCCGTTTCTCTGTAAGCTACAGTGTGTACATCTTAATGTGCAGCAGCATTCTAATTTGTGGATGTTCTGATAGAATATATAATTAATCTTGCTGGTAAACTCAAGATTATAATTCATTAGAGTATTTTCTTTGCTTTCCTGGTCATAGGATGAATTCTCTCTAACATGCTCACTGTCTCACTAAACAATGCATAGAATTGGGCATATGCAGCAGGATTTCTTAAGACTATACAGAAATTGAGAAAGAGAACTAAAGAGACTGCCTCTGAAAAGGGTGAACTCCTTTTGGACAGGAAAATGTATTATTAATAATTCCTCTTTGTTATAACACTCCTAAAATTACCTCAGGATCGGACAACTTTTCAGCTGTTGTCTTTCTATCAATAGTCCAGATTTTTTAAATGACTGCCAAAGAATTTAACTTCAGTTATGTAAGTGGAGGTTTTTTAATGTACAAGTAGACTAAGTATTTCAGACTTTATTTATACTGTATTTGACAGAGGCCCAGGAGAGCAAATTTTATAGGAAACTATGACTCAAAAATGTATTGCATATCAGTTCCAAATGCACTGATGAGTAGAACAAAAAGAACTAAGGAATCCTTTTACTGAAGGCATAAAGTCTATAATGTTGTTTAACTATGTGGATTTTCTGCAGAAAGTACTTTTTAAACACAGTGTTACTAACTTATGATTTGATAGCAACTTTTGAAATATTTAGTGTTTTTTGTTAAAGCCCCAGCTCCTGGAGTCCTTTTTTTTTAAAGTGAGTTTCAAGTCCTCATGGCTGTAGAGAAAAGGTTGAAAACGTACTCGAAGGGCTCAGAAAGCAGAAGGCAAATGAAGAGATTCCCCAAACTATTATTTTTTAAAATCTCTCTCTTTTTTTTTTTACCAATATGATTTGTTGTGTGTGTGTGTGGGGTGGGGTGGGGTGTGGGGGGGTCTGACTCATGACAGTTGAAACCTTGCGGCAGGTAATATACTATAACCAAAAAAAACAAACAAAAAAACACCTCACTGGAGGGAAAAAAACATGATTTAATACACTTAATATAACTCTTCTGCTCCTGTATGTAGACAACTCACCTCTGCCCCATTGCAAATATGTGCAAGGCAAAACAGAGGGGCAGTTGTTATTAAAAAGGAAGTGATGGTATTTGTTCAGATGACCTGGCTATACTACTTAGAAGGAGGAAAGGGAGACATGCATGTTAAAATGGTAGTAGATTGTCACGGGCAGATATATTATCTTAAAATCAGAGTTTGTTTTTTGTATAATGTTTTCTACTTTCTTGCATTCAACTATTGTAGCAACCACTTTTTCAGATGGTACATGTGCTGCCTTTATAATATAAAATGCCTTCTTTAAAAAAGTCTGTTCAAACCACAAATGCAAATGGTATTAGTTTTTACGGTATTGGAAGTGGGGAAATATGTACAAAAATGTGAAAATGTTATATTTTTTCTTTTCACTATATTTTTTGTGCATTTTGCCCTTTCTACTTTTTTCCTATTACCCCCCCCCCACCCACCCACCCAGCCACCCCCAGTACACTTCTGTTTAAAAGGAAAAGATTTTACACTTGAGGGGGAAGAGAAAATCAATAATAAAAAACCCCCAGCTGAACAGTATCTGTTTCAACATAATAGTTCTGTCTCAGCCTCTTCTGCTCTGGGGAAGGAGTAACATTATAGCTAATGTGCACTAAAACATATCATTTTAATGCAAGCAAGAATTATTATTTTCCAATATAATGCCATAATCCATTTTTGGGATTTCTCTGCGTTCTGTGATATTTTGTCTCTACAAATATGTAATCTGCCAGTTTATTATTTTTAACTGGATTAAATAATGCCAATTCACCTTATGAAAACTGCACAATACCCACATGAGACGTACTTTTTTTCACAAGGTATCCTGGTAAAGATTGTCGGTGTTCTGTCATTGTATCATAGCGCTGCCTGCTGGCAGGTTGACAGAAAACCTGTTTCACACTAAATGGTAAATTAATATATAAACCAAGACATAACAGAAAGTACAGTAGTGTTACTTTAAAAATGTATTTAAGAAAATATATTGTACATAGATAATGCCAATTGGACATGAAAGACAAAAAGGACAGAGAATCTATTTTGCTTGATTCCTAATGTTTATGATTGCACTATTAACGTTTACCACTGTTTATTCATAGCTATATCTGTACCTCTAAGTATTAGACTCCTTCATTTGTTTGACAGTTCTGGTAACTAGTAATTAGTGGTGTAAAAATTGTTGATATTTGTAAAAGTTTCAGTTATGTGAGATATATATATATTGTTGAGGATTAAATGAGTTGGAGTAATATATTTATCTTACAACCAGGGAATTAGCTGATGATTCATGGGTGAGTAATTCAAAGCCACAGAGAGTTGTATGGAGTTTTTCTCCTTTCTCCCAAGTAGGATAAATATCTCACTATTGCATTATACTGTGTTACATTTATACAACAAGATCCTCCTTTTGCTGATTCTCTAGTAACAGGTTATAAATTTTGAGGTATGATTTTTATATCAAAATGCTGCTCGTTCAAGCTGCAAAGATTTTAATGTTTTCAGGAATTGTAAATGACTGTATTGTTGGCTTGAGTAAAATAATTAGCTGGATTTTTTTTGGTGACTTGAGATAATTGAGGAGTTGGATAGGAATTAAAATTTGGCTGGTATACTTTTATAGACAAAAATCTGATACTGCTATCAGCAGTGTTGATAATATTATAAAGTATCACTTAATAATCATCAGTAGAAGGTCTTCACTAGTTGTATAAATCTGTGTATTTATCTATATATGGGATATAGTGTGGAATTTGATATTTTATACAAAAATGCATTTTCTAGTTCTTTTCTACTGCTGTTGTGTTATGTTTAATAGCTCTGTTAATGGTTTGCTTATGTACTTGAAATGCTCATTTCTGCCATACAGAAGCCCAGTTTATTTCTCAGAAATTATATTGAATTTGGAAAGCTTCCCATCTTTACTCTCACAAAAGATTTTCTAGAATTCCCAAGGTCCATCCCGGCAACCCACTGAAGTCAGTGGTAAAACTCTCATTAACTTCAGTAGGAATAAGAAGAGACCCCTGTTTTTCTTCTGAATTATCGAATGAAAGGCTGTAACAATAGGCACTTAAGTACAAATTCATTTGTTTCAAAAAATGAAGGTGATAAAGGACAAAACAGCCAAAAAATGAGAAGTAAAACAATCAGAAATGTAGGATTTTAATATTTCCTGCACTTACAGGCAGGTTTCACCAAGTCTTAAACTTTCACGTGTATTGCTATGCTAAATTTTATAACAAAAGACACATTTCATCCATTCACAGCCCAGAAAAATAAAACATTATCACCCTCATCAATGACATTCAAATACTTAACGTCCCTGGCTGAATTGGCAAAAATGCTGAGTTTTGTGCACTTGAGTGAGCATGCAGTTGTGCTTTAACATTTCCAGCAGGTGGCAGTTAAACACAACAGGCTAGATTTTCAAAAGACCTGAGCTCCCACTTAGGCTATGTCTACACTACCACAGTAAGTCGACTTACGCTACGCAACTCCAGCTACGTGGATGTACCTTAGGTCGAGTTATCACAGAGTCTACACCGAGGGGGGTCGATGGGAGAAACTCTCCTGTTGACTTACCTTACTCTTCTTGTTGGGGGTAGAGTACAGGGGTCGACTGGAGAGTGATCTGCTGTTGATTTGGCGGGTCTTGACTAGACCCACTAAATTGACCAGCAGTGGATCAGAGCGTCGATCCCAGAACGTCGATCCTGGCTGTAGTGTTGATCCCGGCTTAGTAACCTAAATGAAGCAGATGGTTTTTGCCTGTCAGCTTCCGTTGAGCTATCCAGCTATCTTAGAGATGAAATCCTGGCCCCACTGAAGCCGGTGAGATTGTGACCAGGATTCCATCCTAAGTGTCTAAGTAGAAGTTGAGCACTTTTTAAAAAATCTGGCCACTTATTTAGGTGCCTAAAAAGAAGCTGTTTGGTGAAAATCTGGCCCCAAAACTACTGCATGTCCAAATGAGAGCAGGGGCCTGGGAAGCTAAGTAATCGCACAAGTGCACTTTCATTAAAATAAGTGTTACCTGTATGTGACAGCAGCGGAGTTAATGAAACGTGCTGTGTATTATATGGTTGTACACAAATCATATTCCCCAAGTATATTTTTGATTTGGAATTAGTTTGCCATTAACTTTTTATAAATCTAAAAATAACACATAACCCAAAGTGACAAATATATATATTTTTTAAAATAATAAAAATCTGTATAAAACAATATACAGTAGAATAATGTAAATCTGATCCAAAATTGGACCTGATCTTGTAACCCTAACTGATGTGAGCAATCCTTACACAAGTAGTCCTGTGGGTTTCTATGAGACTGTTCACGTAAGTATTACACATCTGAGTAAGGGCTGCAGGAGTTGGTTCATACTTATAATAATATAGGGAACCAAATTCTGCCCTTAGTTATACTTGCACGGACCCAACTGGGGATAGTATTTGACCTGCTGCTCTTTAGACATGTCTGTTTCACTAGCAACTAACATTTATCCAGATAGCAGCATATTTTTTAGAAAGAAACCCCTCTGATCACTTACAGTGGTTTTTAAAGTACTAAAAACAATGAGGCACGTTTTTACGTTTCTAATAGCTGAAGTATGTAAGGGTTAGTCTATTAGTTCTTTTTGTGGAACAAATATTTCAGAAGTTAAAAACAAACTAATATCTGTAAGAAATTGGAATGGGCACACTCAGGGTCAAAAATATTCTTTAAAATAAAATTAAAACAATATTTTACAAAACCTAAGATCAGTAGAAATGTTTCCATGATTTTTTTTTCAATTCTGGTGGAAACAAATCCTTATTCAAAAGTAGTGTTTGCAACCCAAACATTGCAGCATTGGGCTAGAGCATGAGAACAGGAAAATGAACCTGACATGAAATAGACTAAAAGCAAAAGTGAAACTGATGAGTCTGTTTTCATGTGGAAGCTGAGAGAAATGCAAAAATAAATAATGAATCTGACTAATAAGGAATAAATTAGAATGCTAAAATCCTTGTTATCATAATCTAAGGGCTGGTCCACACTAACCCCCCACTTCGAACTAAGATACGCAACTTCAGCTACGTTATTCATGTAGCTGAAGTCGAACTATCTTAGTTCGAACTTACTGCGGGTCCAGACGCGGCAGGCAGACTCCCCCGTCGACTCCGCGTACTCCTCTCGCCGAGCAGGAGTACCGGCGTCGACGACGAGCACTTCCAGGATCGATCCCAGAAGATCGATTGCTTACCGCCGGACCCGGAGGTAAGTATAGACCTATCCTAAGGGAAAATTCTTTTTAGTATAATTATTCTACAGCATCCTTTTAATAGCAATTCAGAAGGAACAAATTATTAACATTTTAAGGTAATTAATGTTTTCCTCTCAACATCTGTGGAAGTAGGGTTTGCTTGGGACTAATTTTCGTTTTGGTTACAGAGGCAACTGTGAATGAGGGGTTCGGGAAAACTCTTGGAAGCTGTTTACTGTGCCATGGTTCAGATGAAGGCATAAATTAAAGAGGATGTGCATGTTGGTGATCAGGGGCCTGGGGGTGATCAGTAGGCGATTGTGAGAATATATGCTTTTCTTTGGACATCTTGAAAAAAGTGATATTTAGCATGTGTGAGGATGTGTTCAGGTATGCAGATGCACACACAAAACACTTATTTCCAGTTACCCTAGACTCACAGAATTTCGTGTCTCTACATTTGTGTGTGCAATGGGCTTTACCTTCTGGTTATCCAGCTATCTTAGGGTTTTGTACTGGCACACAGCAGAAATAATGTTCACGGCAGAGGATTATAGTCACAATAAATGGGATTTGCTGTTATGAAAACCTTAGCTTCATTTGAGCCTAGGAGGCACTGAGTAACTTTTGAGAGGTGAGGAATGCCCGCTCTTGGCAACTCTTAGGATTGGACCTTGAAACACCAGAAATCTCAGCTTAATGCCTCTGTCTGATCTAGAACCAGAAGACTCATGTCTTAATCCATAATGGCAGCCCACGAATCAGTTAAATAAGGTGTGCTTTTACGTAACATTTTGCTGACATTTATTTAAAACTAATAGAACTAGATG